GAATTATCTTAATAAATCACTAAGGGACTGCACTCCCTGCTCACTATGCTCACCAACCTCCCTTTCGTGGGGGGGGTAGGCAATGCTCCCTCTCTCCCTGGCCACTGGCACGTCTGTTTTATTAAGCGCAGCTGGATAGCAAAGAGGAGGCAGCAAAGCTAGGCAGAGGGGGCCAGAATGGACTTCCCCTGGTCCAGCAAACTCCCTCGTTCAGGACCAGTGCAGTCCAAAGGTGCCAGACCAGGAAAGCACTAATACACATGCATCTGTGCCTTCCCAAATAAGGAAAATTTTCTTATGTGCCTTTTCAAACTGTGGCCTCGGCAAAGATGCAAGGAGGTAACAGCAGATTTTACAGAACATACGACAGACCTTCCCTAATCAGTACTAAGTGGTTCTGTTGACAAGAGTGCTCAGACACAACTGGAAACGTTTGTGGATTGGCAACGCTTGGGGAGTGGGGAAGAGAACCAGCTCTGCTGGACAACTGTGGTTGTTCTAGCCCGTATGTCAGGCCATTGCGGAGGGCCAAGAGAGGGTCCAGGAGCTCAGGGGGTATTTCTCCATCCATCTGTGGAGAGGGTGATTTTAACAAGGCTAGTCCTAGCACAGAATCAGGGCTGTTTTTAGCCTCCACGTTCATTTACACCAGGATGAGGCTTATGGTTCTCCTGCATTCACAAACTCCAAAATATATTAGCCATGTTTTTAACCAGCTCTCACAAGATAATCAGCTCTGTACAGTAAATACAGGAAGCCACCATGACTGCCCCAGGGGCTTTCAAGCTCAGCGAGACAGTGTACTGTTACAATACATAATATACGGCTGATATGCTGATGACTCAGTCTCAATGTTGCAGGTTTTAGGGGTTGGTTTTTGTTTGGTTGGGGTATTTTGTTAAACGGTTGGAAATGGTGATGGTTCATCACCGAAGGGCTTAGCTGAAGAAGTGGAGGACTGAATAAAGAGCTGGCACTGAAGAGGGAGACCATTCATGCATATGGGGCAGAGAGGAAAAAAGGCAGAAAATAAAGTTTGGGAAAATAATGCACACGTTATACAGTGTACATGTTTAGCAGCAAGGTATCCCCTAAAAGTCCATAAGAGTCTCTAATCATAACCATGTCATCATACGCAGTAGTATCAGATATCACAAGAGTTTGAGCACTCTTGACACCCCAGACTTAAACCTGTGGAATTCACTGACACTGTAGGCTAAAGTCAAATGCAATGGCTAGATTATTTGTATTTGTAACTAACAAAAACTGGTGTATGCTTACTATGTGAATTATAGTAGCACTTGGATATCTCAAGCCCATAGTAAGAGGTACATAGTTATGTGCATGAAGATAAGGGCAATCAGATCTCAACAGCTGTCTGTGGAATGATAAAAAAAGTAAAAGTACCCTCAGACAAATGTTTATTACACAGTAGGTTAGGCAAATGATCAGCCGTTTCTATATATCTTTCTCTGAAGCATCAGATATACCATGACACTTCAACTTGAAGTATGGGTCTGATCCAAAGCCCAGTGAAGTCTGTGCAAGTCCTTTTGTTGATTTCAACAGTTTTTGGTGAGACATCCCCGTATGATTTGTGATGAATCAACCATCCGATCTAACATGGCAAATCCTATCATTCTTTCCTCTGTATTTAAGTTTCGCAGGAGCCATAACTTTCTGTACAGTGCTGTTGGAACCAAGCCTTCTTTTTCACTATCAAACTCTCATGCAAAAATTCCAAAAAAGTTAATATCTAAGACACTCCCTTGATCAATTCTAAGCCCCCCTCTCCCTCCATTTTCTCTCTTTGAATGCAGCTTTATTCAAGGCACTGGTGTGCAGTAAGTTTTTTTTTATTTTTGAAAGCAAGTAATATCCCACCCCTACCCCCCCTCAACACACATAGACCCCAAAAATAAAAGGACAATATGAAAGAGGAGTTAAGTAATGTAATGTGACAGGAGAGATGCTGGTATGCATTTTGAGGCAGAAAGCAGAGCGATTTCCTGCCATCACCTCACCTTCACTTCTTGAAAATTTAAAATGGTAACTTACAAATGCTCTCCATGCAACACTAAGATAGTTTGCAAAATTCTAAACCATGCTAAAGCTCTCAAATTAGCCTAATACGCTATTCTTGTTTTTCTGGATACTGTTTTCTAGCAGATCTGCTTTACTAAAAGCAAATCTCAATGTACTTTTTGCTACTGATGCTTCCATAAATGATACATACACATATGTGCCTACAAATGCATATGTAAGGCACACGCATGCCCCTATATCTGTTTATAGACAGAGTGTCTCTTTCATAGGATGATTTTAGGATGAAGAAAGATTCATGGAAATCAGCCTCAACCACAATGAACAATGGCCAAACTGTACTAAAATCTAAGCTAGCTTTTACTATCTTAAAATAATAGGGCCAGAGACTGGCTTTAAAGGTCTACACACACCTTCCTTAGCAAAGTTTAATTTGCATAAAAACTGCCTTTACATATCTAGCTTTTAGGGTCTCAGGTGCTTTTCCCCCTTATATGGTCTCATACCGAATACACACGCTGCTCTAACACCTCCACGACGTCATCTGAAAGGGTATCACTGCAAGTGTTACTCGGTGAGCCCCGAGGATTATTGTATCCTGCTATAGACACCTAGCACTGTGCCCTCTTGTGTTCACCCAGCTAGTCAAGCGACATGCTGCAGAAGCAGAGCCCTTAGCAGATGCATTCTCAGTGGGGCCCACTACAGTACGTGTGTGTTAGAAAAAGCATGGTCATGAGATGGCAATGGGATTAGTTTTTGATGGGTTTTTTTTTTCAAAAGGAAGGCTACAGCCAACAGCCCTCTGCATTACCATTATCAGGGTTGGTAAACATCCTACTTGCACTGGAGACGGTCTTCCCGATGTCAGCCAGAGAGCGTAAGTTGGATTTCTTGGTCTGGTGCCGATGTTTCCTGAGCAGCGTGTAGGTGACCTTGTCCTTCATGTCTAGTTTCAACAGGCCTGTCTCAATTTGATTGTCCACAATCATTTCTGTTGCAAAAAGAAATAAGAAGGTAGGGGTGAGAAAAATCACAAGGAGCAAAGTTATGAAAACTCACAAGGAGAATAGTTATTAGGCTGCTACTTTCAGCAAAGCATCTGGTTTCTTGATGTCACCCCTGTTTCCAGGCCTTTCGTGTTTGTTCTTTCATAACATGATTTTTTTAAAGTAATTTCCTTTTTCAGGATGTCTTTTGCAATGAAACTTAAGTGTGTTTGTCTTCCAAAAGTCACTAGCCCTGTGCTAGGAGGTCCCTAATAGAAACATTGCAATCAGACCAAGATTGACTTCCGAGGTAAGGACTGCTCACTGTCATCCAGGAAGGGGAAGAACTTGCTATACAGAATGAAAAATGGTCACGGGTATGTCCTGTTACCAACAAGCTACAGCAACACAGCAAGTGAAATTCTGTCCCCACTAAAGTCAATGGCAAAATGCCTGTTGACTTCAACAGGGTCAATATTTCACTCCATAGGTTTCCAGCTCAGTGCAATTTAGCAAGACTGAACACTTAAACCATAGTTTACCCATACATCCATAGTCATTTAACATTGGCTCCACAACAGGGATGTAGTAATATAGTTGGTTAACAGATAAGCAAAAACGTATTGGGTAATGCTATAGACTACATGCATTCCCCCTCCACCACCAATAAGGCTGGCCAGAAGCCCGGCTCAGTACTGGCTTGCACCAAGTCCGAGACCTACCCCTGCTGTGGCTCTGCATTTCAAGTGTATTAGGAGGTAGGCAGGCAGCCCAGCTCAGTTCTAGGAGTTCAGACCCTCTGCTCCCGGACAGAGGCTGCTGCCATCCCATACTGCTGCCTCTGTATCAGCCGGTCCACAAGGGAAGCTCCTCAAGCTCAGAACTCCTCAAGCAAGTACCATTATCAGCAATTAAAATTAACACCATGCTCAGTTCTGTTGTTACAAAGTGAGATCCCATCTGTGAATTCTTTTGATGCCACACAAAACAAAAAGCCCATGGTGAGAGTTTACATGGACTGTAATTGCTGTGCTCTTATAGCTGGTATTAGTGATGTTCTTGAACACCATCTTGGAAGTGGAAACTGTATTTCTCTGTTATACCATGAATTAATAATAAGCAAAAAGAGGAATACCTATTCACAGGACAATTTATTATAAAATGAATTCTGTTTCTCTCATTAAACGTCTATGTAATTTCCCCCTTAAACTAGTAGAGTGGTAAATATTCTCAAAGGCTAAATTGCACTGTTGCCTGCTCATGATGTTTGCTGTTTTCCTTTAAGCCTCAGCTCTCGAGTGCCCTGTCATTAAGCACATTTTTTTAAAAAATCTACTTCTCACAGAGAAAATCTTGCAAGTGTGAACCCTGCAAGCTCAAAAACATGAAAGAAAATAAAAATAACCCAAGATTTTTTTTTTTTTAAATCTCATTTTTAAAATCAGTCTCGTGTTATTTTGAGGACGAGCCCCGGTTATATTTGCCATGAACTAGCACTTCTGCAGGCCACCTTACCTGTGAATGGAGCAATGGATAAGGATGGAGAGTGACTTATCCTAGAAGCTCGCCGGGAGGGGGGAGCAATGTGGGGTAGCCTGCATCACTGCTGCCCGTGTTGGGTCAGTTCTGTGGATGAATCGGGATGAACACTTCCCTGCTGTCAGACCTTACATGTTGGGCCTTTCAGAAATACCCAGTGCTGGCTTACCTCTGCTCCCATTGAGCTCACTTGTAATAATCACGCTACGTTCCACAGTGCTTTTTTCAGAGACTTGATTTGCTTCTAAAAATACTATGCCGATTTCAGGTTAGAGTTGTTCCAGGGCTAAGCATTCAAGAAACGTGAGTTCCTCTGACATGGATATCTGTTCATTCAGAGCTGGACTGCAATCACTTTGCATAGGCTACTGAAGAAGCATCACATGACAACAGCTTTCAATTACAACCCAATCAAGCAGGCTGTATGCTATGGGTGAAAGACTTTGTATGTCCTAAGCCACCCAGCCCAAACTACAGGTTGAACCTCTCTTGTTCAGAACTCTCTTATCTGGAAACATCTGTCGTCCAGAATGATTTTAGTTAGCCAATTTTCATGGGTGTGGACAAGTTTCCCGCAGCCCCATAAAATTTGTTTCCAGCCACCAGTCCGAGCATTCAGTGTTCTGGGCTGTTCTTTAGCTCTAATTTACCCCTAAACATCCTCTAACATCCCAATAAGCAGTGGAAGTGTAGGTAATGCTGCTAGAAAATGCTGACCTCCCGTGGTCTGGAAAACTCTCATTTTAAACCAGTCTGGTCCCCAGGGTGCCGGATGAGAGAAGTTCAACCTATACTTCAGAAAGCCTGGGACATAGGTTGGCTTTTGGTTGTGGACAAGCCAGCCACATGCTCAGTCCTTCGCTTTCACTGACAGCCATGATTGAGACTCTGAGGAACAGAGCATTGGAGTGGAGAGGAGAGGGGGAATACTATTGAAAGAACTTCCACGGATGCCTACTTACCCACTACCTGAGGGAGAGAGGTGGCCTCCAAATCCAGCAGGATGGATCCTTTCTCTATACACGTCCGCAGCTCAAACAAGCTGTGCAGGGACAAAGTAGCGACGTGAGGCTTGCTCCATCTCTCTCCGCCCTGTTCCACTTTCTCTTCAAACTTTATCCACCTATGGAAAGGCAAAGACACAAGAACATGTTAAAACGTTGCATCGGACATTTCTGAAAGAGGCAGTGCAGCTAAACGGTTACAGCGTGATGCCAGGTTTAAACATACAGGACGTCACGAACACACCACTCTAAACTAAGACAAAGAAAATCCAACAACTAGGCCGATGCCACCCAGAATTTGAACAGGCAAACTATTTCTAAGTTAGCCACCCGCTGTGGGCCACCTAGAGGAAAGTGACTTGATTTTCAGAGGGGGATTATCAACATCATCTCTGGAAATGCAGTCACTTTAATTTAGATGCCGAAAACACCTAAGTTTGGAAACTTTGGCCAAAGCTTTTAAAGATGCTAGGTGAGCGGAGACAAACAGAAAACTAAAATGACTGAAATGTATCATGAAAGAGAAATTACTAAATGGATTATTTGTGTCATTTTTATTTCTGGTCACACTTTGAACATAAAAGAAGGGAATAGACAGTAATAATAAATACCACCCAGTTCTTCGATAGTGCTTTTCATCCCTTCAAAACACTTTACAAAGGAGGAAAGCTTCACATCCCTACTTGACAAAAGGGGAAACCGAGGCACAAACAGGTGAAATGATTTGACTGAGATGACAAAGCAACCCTGTTGGCAGAATTGGGATTAGAACCCAGGTCTCTTCATTCCTGGTTTGGATTCTGTCCATTGGGTCAAGAAACACAGAACCTGCACTTTATAGTCTCTCTGGCACATCACTGCTCACTATACACATTGCACCACCAAAATCCAGGACTTCCTCATCTCGCAACACACATGGGCCAGGAAAGAGCATGGATTTTGCTGGCCAGAGGGCCCTGGCGGCTGGGAGAAGGGCCTGCTGCGAGTCCAGCAGCAAAGGAAACAGCGGCAGGGTGGGAAGTCCCCAGCTGGGCTAGCTGCAAGGAGGCCATGGTCAGGTCAGCAGCAGGGGGGGCAGGACTGGAGCTGGGAGCAGCAGGAAGCATTGACGTCCCCTGGTCCAGGAAATTCCCTGGTTTGGGAACGCTCAGATCCTGAACGCGCCAGCCCAGGGAGGTCCAACCTGTAGTGTGTGAAATAGGGATGTAAAATCCTGTTTAATTGGTTAACCCGTTAAATGTGAGATTTAACCAGTTAAACGACGAAAGGGGGACACGGAGCCTGGAGCAACTTCTCTTCTCCCATCACAGGCAGGAACTGCTCTGGACGAGCGGAGCAGCCTCTGCCTGCAATGCACCCGGGCCCACCATGGACAGGGGCTGCTCCAGACAGCCAGAGCAGCCCCCTCCATGCCTGGCCCCATGGAGCTGGAGCAGTCCCCTGCCTGCAGCAGGTGCAGAGCTGCTCTAGCCCCTGCAGGTTAATCTTTCATCCCTAATGTGAAAGACAATCGTGTATGGTCAATTTTTAAAAAGCTTAAAGAAGACAGTACTCTGTCAAAAATCTACAGGAGGGGGATGCGGGGGGGGGGGGGGAAGGAGGGGAAGAGTTCAGCTTCCATGAAGCCTTTCTTAACTGGAAAACAAAAGTTTAGTTTTCCACATTCTGTATCTGGTAGTTTAATGATTCAATGACATTTTTCTGAAAAAAACCTGCAAGCTCATCTCTCTAGTAGAAGATTAGAGCAAAGGTTAAATACCACTGCATGTAAAGTGGTATTTACATACCTAAAACCATGTCATAACAACATTAAAGCATCAGGCCTAAACCTTCAAAAGCAAAAGAAACTGAAATATCTTCAGTTCTCACCACTGTGCCTAAATATAACCAATCATAGAGAACTAGTGTGACCAGAAGCTAAGATTAATGCAGGCAACAGCCATGTGGGTTCTTTTCTTTTCATACAAGACAGGTAACAAAAGTTTTGCAAGTCCAATTCTGCCCTCAATAACCTCTGTCTAACTGCTAATGCAATCAATTGGTTTGCACAAGAGACACTGACTGAACTTGGAGTAAACAATTACAAGAAGGTGTAAGGAGGAAGAAAATATTTTAAAACTACAGTGCTAGCAAAAGAAAGAAATGCATAAGAAGTAAATTTCTTTCTCTGAAAAAAGCAAATATAACTATACACACGGGGAACCATGAGGAAAGAGATTTCACACAGTCAGTTTTCAGAATAGAAATATGCTTAATTTAAGCCGTTCCTGGATATTATTTTAACAGATTTTGAAAATAAACATTTCATTTTCTAATATTAGGGCATTTCCAAGAACAAAAGCTCTACATTCAAGCGTAGGGAAATTCAGGTAACTTAAAACAAATTATTTGCCCAACTGAAATTACATTTAATTCTGACAAAAAAATATTTGAGGGTCATACAATTGCTAAATAAAACACTAGTGTTCCTCGGTTGGGTAATTCAATTTTGAGACCTTTTAAAAACTTGTTTACCCAAATGAAATGTTGTGACCTTGGTCTGAAAGTACTGCATGAGGACTGGTCAGTTTGGAGATTGGGTTTGCGCACAGGAGCCTGAGTTAGGCGTTCATCTCCCATGAAAAGAAATCCAGATCCCTTTCCTTTTCAAAGAGATATGAACACTTAACTCCTTTGAGTGCCATAGAAAAATCCCAGCTGGACGGAGTGCTACTGAATTTTACCCTGCACCAGCATAAATTCTGCATATTAAAAAGATCTTGACATTTTTGTTGAAGGTGTATAATTCACAATAAAGCACTTTTCCTTGTTTGATTTGGGCTTGGTTTTTATTTGTTTTTCTCCATATAATCCGCAATATTTATCTTTGATAAAGAAAGCTTTAACTTATTTTTATAAGTGTTTGAACTGCTAACTGCTATAATTAGTACACTCCTAAAACTCTACTGAATAGATAGATTTTCCTGCACATTCTGTTTCACAATCCAAACATTTAGTTGAGCAATCTATTCCAATTGCTCTTCTTTTGACACTTCAATCTGACAATGCCTTTTCTTTGATACCCATCTTGGACCTTCTCTGTTTTCAGGTCTCTCACACAACATCCTGAGAGGTGAAGACGCACGCAAAGAAATCACTTAAATGAGGTAACAGTATAACCGTTTAAACGGTTAGCAAATAGTCTGAGCTTAATGGTTACACTCAGGCTCTCAGCCCTGCTCGTGGGTAGCCAGTTACTACCACCCTGCGCTGTGGGCTCTGTATCAGAGCCGGCAGCCAGCTCCCTGGGAGCCAGATTAAAAACTGGCTCCCGGCACGCACTGGTCTCAGGGAGCTGGCTGCCACCCCACACTGCAGCAGAGACCATAGCGCAGCCGGTTCTCTGGGAGCGGGGCTGGGAGCCAGATTAAAAGCTGGCTCCCGGCACACACTGGTTCTCAGGGAGCTGGCTGCCAGCCCGCGCCACTGCAGAGACCATAGTGTAGCTGGTTCTCGGGGAGCCAGCTGCGCTGTGGGCTCTACAGTGTAAGCGTCAGACTACAGAGCCCACAGCGTGTAACCCTGTAACCGCTAAGAATTTTCAGCAGTGACCCAGGTACCTAATTAACCACTTTTTAACATCCCTAATTAAAAGAAGCTGACACAGTTTGGGACCCAAAACCTCCTTTTACTAAAAATAAACCAAGGTGCTGATCTTGCAAACCTTCCAAGCAGCAGGCTAGAAGTCATTGTAGAGGTCCAAATCATTTTGCATCTATAACCTTAGTTTCACAGAGGTGGCCTAAGGTAGAAAGTCACATTTGCAGGTGGTTGAGCAAAGGAAACATTCTTGGACAGCTAAAGGACTTTAAAAGGGGAGATGCAGGCAAGTACGGCCATGCACCCTCGTGACGACGAACCCTGGAGCTCCAGGCCATTTGCTCAGTAAAGCCGGGGATTTGTTAGAGCAGATTTGAAGAGATCCTCTGGCTTGAAGGCCAGGGCAGAGAGCAGTGCTCCTCCAACTCCGGGGCCACTGTCAGCCCCACCCCTCACAGCCTTGGGACTGGGGGAGCTCACAGCCCAACACCACAGTGGGTGGAACTGGATGTGTGATCCAGGTCCCACTTTGTTATAGCTCTAGGTCCGCTCTTGTGAAGGGCATGATAGCATATGTGTACCCGTTAATATTTACTGCGATGTGTATTCAGCATTGTGGGATTTCCTGGGTATTGGAAGAGACAGCACCTATAAAACTAGCACAACAAACCGATTAAGGCAAGAGGCTGCTAGTTCCCTCCACCCCCAACCTCTGTCCAGTTCTGCTCCTGACCTCTACACACCTGGCTTCACTCCACGGAACTACCATCCACAATGCAAGCTTGGGACATTTTGACTAGTTCAGAATAAAAGCTGTAAGTCTTTTTAAAACCTTAGTTATGCTTCCTAGGCCTCTCAAACCAGGGACTTTGTTAACTACAGCATTCAAAGTCTCTCCCAGGCACCCAGTGACACTACACACTTCAGATTTCAGAATGACACTTCCAGTGCAGACTCAAACAGCCAGCTGCTATATTAGACAAATCTGATGCTAATGCATTTAAATGTTTCCAAAACCAATTCCTTATACAGGAGGCCCCTGACTTGCAACCGCCCGAGTTCCGACCCCCCGCACTTACAACCATTTTTATAAGTTCAGAAGGGGCTGAAAACCCTCGACTTATGTCCTCAGCCCGCATTTATGATGGTGCACAGCACCTATCGTAACTGTGGGTTTGAGTTACAATGCCCCCGACTTGCGACGCTTCCCCGGGAACCAATTGCACCGCAAGTCGGGGGCCTCCTGTAATCCAATACTTGTTCGAGAACCAAGGAACTTATTCAGTACCCACCGTGTTTTAATGTCACTAACCTACTGGTCAATTGGCCAAGCAAGGAATTAAATTGTTGTTAGCGTCTGCAAACAGTGGTTCAAGAGGCTCATTTTTTCTTCAATGATCCTTGTGGTCTACAGTTCTTGGGCAACCTATCCCAAGACTTGGAGCACACTGAAGGGAGTTAACGCTCTGCTTGAGGTAGCTTACCAGAAAAAAAATAAACATAGCATAAAGAATTCCAAAGACCACAGAACCATTTCATGTCTTTGTGGCACGATCAGAGGCCCAAATCTTTAGTATCACAGCCGCATTACTGGAACATTGGGATAGCTCCACAGGGTAGTGGAGAGGATCCAGAAATTCAAGAGGTAGCCTCAGGCTACTGTTTCGGCTTCAGGCCTGTTCATTCTGCTGCCAATTTACAATGTGTCCTTTAAACTACTGCTGAACTACGAAGAGGTTTGCCTGGAAGTACCACACCGACACCAAGTTCATTACAATGTAGAGCCAATGAACAAAAACGGCCAATGACCCAAATAGTCAACTCTTAGCTTTTAATGGCCACAGCTTTTGCTGTTACGGCATCGTTCTGGTGAGTTCGAATGGTCCCACCTGAACCTATGCTACGCTCTGCAACGTGTGTCAAAAAGCTTCTACTGTTATCAGTGGCTGAGCTCCACCAGTCTGAACAGTGCTAGGAGCTCTTAGGCACCCAGGATCCCACTGCCCTTGTCATTTTAGTACAGGATTAGCCAGACATGCACAAAGTAGAGATGGATGACAGTCAGTATGGTGCTGTCCATCTATCTTAGTGCTCCCAACAGAGGTAACACCAATGAACCTGAACCCAACATTTGCTAAAACAGCTAGGGACACCATACACTCCGCTACAAGTACTTTTTAGTCATATCTTTTCACTAGCTGCTAAAAAATTTTGATGACCTCTACTAATTATTTTTATCTAGGTAACTCCTTGAAGAGAGAGCAGCACAATTTGCTGTAACTCTTGAATGCAAATGTTATGTTCTGGAGGGGAAACTGTTTCAATTCCATTCTCAAACCTCTTTCGAGGGCTAATATTATACAGTAAACAGAGGTGAGATGTGAATTGGGCAGCATCCCTACTGGTTAGAGCACAGTCAGCTGATCCTATCAGGTACGTCTTGCAGAAGCAGCTACTCTGCAGCTTAGGGGTAGATTTTGCTTTGCAAGACTAAGCTGAATGAAAGAAACATTGAACACCAAGAACTTCACATACCACAGATTCAGCAGCCAAATAAAAACCCATCCTGAATAACTGATTGTTAAGCCTGAAATTTTTGCAGTGTCTCCAAATTCCTTCCGTTTAGGTATGTAAACTAGCTACGTCACCATTAAAAGGAAGATGTGCATATGGAGGGTCCTATCTAGCAGTTCCAGCCAAGCAGCATGGCACTAAATATTGTATGCTCTTATGCAAGGAAAACTACACCTCTTCATTATACAGCGCCTTGATATGGCAAACTGAAGAGCCCATCCTCTGAAGTTATATCAACCTCAAGACTTCTTTGAAATTAAGTGACAGCGGGGGACACATATCCCTCAAGAGAAGCAGGTACACGCGATCACTCAAAGAAGATGTAGTTGAGACATTTTCCTTTGACTCTGAAAAGGAGTCCTTCAAATTAAAATACGGTCTTTTGTCCACCCGGCCAATCCAATTCACCACAAAGCTTCCTTATCAGGTGTTCCCTGCCTATCTCTTTATAATCACAGTTAAAATGAAAACGCAGCCTAAAAGATCTGTAATGTGTGTGAAGTTAAGAGAACTCCCCAGTTTGTTTTCACACTAGAAAGCACAGACACTTCTTAACACAGAACAGAAATTTTAGATACAAGAAGTGAATATGGACAAATTGTTAAATCTTTAGACCTTCTAAGAGGGGTAAAGTGATACAGTCAGTGGAAAGAACAATCAGCTATAGAAAGCAGAGAGGTGATGCACACAACAAAATGCAAATACTGCACTAAACTAATAAGGGGGGGGAAAGTAACCCAAAGAGAAGAGGAAGACTAAGAAATAAGAATCTAAAAGGTGTGAAGGCTGAAGAGTCTTTGAATAGGCCCTACAAAAAAAATGAGTAGGCAAATAAGGAGACAAGGTGGAGCGACTCATTAAAATCACAGGTAAAGGACAATTAAGGTAACCAAATAACAGGGACTAACCAGAACACTGTCAGAGGCCTTTAAGATTGGAAGGTGGAGAGAGAGGTTAGCAAAGCTATAATAAAGGAAACTAAAAAGCTAATATTTAAAAGAGGTGGGGAGGGGGAGGAAAAAGCCCTGGAAAATATTTACTCCGAATTCCTCTCTCTAGCGAAATACCCAGGTCTAACACTTCATGCAGCTTCCCATACAGTGCAATTTCAAGACCACAAACTGTATAGAAAAATTTCAACCTAGCTTCTGTTTAGCATCTCGGGCATCCTATTACAAACAGCTGATTCCGCCAGCTAAATTAGTTGCAGATATCTATCGTCATTCCAATGTTATTTATTTGTGTGCACCGTTCATAAAATGGTCAAATGTCAATTTGCATGGACTGTCAGACAAAGCATGCAACTTCTGAATTAATACTAGAGTGCAAAATAGAGAGTAAATCCAGAAAGATCAAAATGGTCCATCTATTCTGGCAAATACCCTAAGGAATAACTGGCTTTAGAAAAAAAGAACAGTTGGGTGTTTTTGCTCATTTAAAATTGATGTCCTGATTAGCTACTCAGGTCAAAGGCTAAAACTGAAGATTTTGAATTTGTGTCTGAAATTGGGCTCCCAAATTCACAGTTAGGCACTAAAACAAAAAAATAGCTTTCATGAGGCCTAAAAAGCTTAACTTCAAGCACGCAATTTTGGCCAGCACAAGTCACTTGTTTACAAAGCAGTAGGTACATTTCTGGTGGTGGATAAACTATACATTTAAATAAAGCCAGTGCTCTAGATCTCCTTCTGTTCTCAGAGAAGGTGTAAACAGACGCTGAACGGAATTGCTAAGGTCTCCCTCATGGAAGAACCCCATCGAATTTGAGGACAACCACCTCTTCATGCATGAACCATGTTACTCTCTCTGACTTGCCCATAAAAGTTCCCGAGAAGTAGCACCTCACCTGGCCGTCTCCTTCCACTCCATCTCCTGTCCATCCACTGCCAGCAGCTCGTCCAGTTCGGTGAAGAGCTGAGGGGGTGCAGGGCTGTCATCTTCTTCACCCAAAATGAAGCGGATCCGCTCAGCAGCTGGAGAGACTGCAGAGGTGAAAATACTGCGGTTAACAGCCTGCAGGATGATCAGGGACGTTCGGCTCCTCTCCTTCCCTTTCTCCCCAAAGCCATTCAGATTTTTCTCCGGGTTGCTTTTTTCATTTGACATTTTAATTCTCTTTCTCTCTCTCTCTCTCTCACAGTCTACAGTTCCCTCTCTTCCCTCTCCTCCCACTTACTTCTGAAAACTTCAAGCTGGGAGTAAAGTTCAGGAAAACGTGCCTCTTCCTACAGTCCCTAACTGCGTTTCAACAATTCATAGCCCCTTGTAAAAAGAGAACTACCAAGCTCAAAACCAATATGTTCTACGGTTCATGACGAGGACCTTTAGTACTCTGATCAGCTGAGGTTTTCCAACCCTTTTTTTTTTTATGCGACATAAAACCAGTTTAAACCAAACTATTTTGGGGGTCTATAGCAGAGGCAAAACAGCAGCATCCCACAGCCAGTTCTCTCCTCCCTTTGGATGAAGCTGGCTTTTTCATTGGCTCACAGGCCAATCTGTAACCCTCCTAGACTCATTACAAGCGAAAGGAATATTTAACAAAAAAAGTTGGCTTTGTCTTTACATGAAGACTGTGCCCGAATATATTTAGTCAGGCATCAATGCACTAGAAAAAAACAACCCCCAGGTGAAATATTGTCCATTGAAGGAGAAAAAAAAAACCTCATTTCACCATATGGCCTCGTGCTGAAGTGGATAATTGAAAGTTTGGTGGAACTCCTTTTGACCTGTTAGCTAAGGAAAAATTAACTGGAATTCTCACCAGTTCAAGAGGGAAAAAAGTGGCTATCTTATCCTCACGATAAAAGGAGTTAAAGCTTCACTCTAGGTATTTTACAGGTCTAATCATACCCTCTACAACAGGGGTAGGGAACCTAAGACCCGGGGGGCTGGATGTGACTCTCTGCTTGCCTGCATCCAGACCCTGAGGCTCAGGGCCCCCCCCGAGAATTGGGGAGCCCACACTGGTGCTCCAGCCCCACCTCCACCCTACCCCATGGGGCTGGAGCACACAATATCTACTAGCCTGGGCCCCCCTAGGCTTTAGTGTGTAAAAGAAATATGGGGAGTGTCTTTCCTACTTCTCGGTCAGGGGCCATGTCAGTGAGGGTTGGGGTTTTTTTTTTTCCCCGTTTCTCACTTGTGTCCCCCTTCCCCCCGGCCTGACTCATTTTTCTGTGGGTCAGTGGCCCCCGACACAAACGAGGCTCCCTAACCCTACTCCACCACAAAACCCTCAATGGTCTTTAAGTATAACCTGCTGTAGACTTTAAAACAGGTCTGTGCTCTTTTTTCCTTCTTTCTTGTGGATAAAGAACGTCTAAAGGACAGTTGTTGGTTTTGGTTCTTATTTTTAAGGGGGAGAGGGAGCTTTTCCCTGCTTTTTGCTTTTTAACCTCAATCATCAGAAGTGTCAAGTCTGATCCTTTCCTACAGCAGTTCCACTAGGGATTCTGCAAATCCTTGCACCTTCAAAAATATGGGAGGCTGTGGTTATGGAAAAATTAACATATCAATTATGTACTCAACAAAATAGAGGACGGGCAGATACTTGGATAAGTGGTTATCTATTATTCTTTGCTCAAAGTACATTCACCTGGAAAAATACCAACATGTGTCCAATTTTTTGGAATGTTAACATTTGATAGACATCTCTGGCCTGATGAATATATGCATGTATATTTGGATTTCACTCAATTTAACATCACTAGACACAACATATTACAGGTTTTGTAATGAGGCTCCTTCTGTCATATGGTAACATCCTATTGAAAAGGCAGACATGATAATTATTTTTCTGTAGGAGGTCTCTTTAACCAAAAGGTAACTGTTATATTGATGGGTTTGTTTCTGATATTTACATGGCAAAGATTTGTAGATTTGTTAACACACCTAAACAAACAGTAAACGACACAAAATCCCTCCTTGTTCATAGTGCAGCTTTCCTTCTCTTTCAATAGAAATATGTGATCTGTTCTTCTGTTACCAGGAGTTTCCCAGAGTAGATGGAATCTGAACTTCTAATGTAAAGAAACAAGCAAGAACAATTCCCCCTGAACTAAGAAGAGACCTGTCACAGTTTCTACACATTATGAAGCAAAAGGAGACCTAAATGCACTTTTTTTTTTATTTGCAGCTACAGCTTTAAAGTGGCCATATTTTTATAATAACCCCCCTACTCCCCCCAAGATACTTCCCTAGTGATATTACTTATAGTATGCAAAAAACAAAAACAAAACAAAGTTCACTTAGGGTTGCCAGGTGTCCATCATTTGGGTCCCCCGTCTGGTTAAAAAAACAAACAAACAGAAAATACTGGACATATGAAATGTCTAGTATTTCCCTCGGACGGAAGCCCGGTGGGGACAATTTTCCCCTGCCGCGTCTGGTGGGGGCGGGGGTGGGGGACTGAGGAACACAGGAAGCCCGGCACGGACAATTTGCCCCTGCCGTGTCTTGTGGGGGCGGGGGAGCGAGGACCATGGGGCCATTTAAAGGAGCAGCACCTTTTTTGTTGTTGTTGCTTAACAACTTTGATCTCCCCCTGCTTAACAACTCTTGGGGGTCCTTTTGTATTTTTTCTTAAACCATCTGGCAACCCTCTTCACTTTTGTTTTTAAATGAGAACTATCAACACTACTGCCAACTCCCAGTATTACAGCACCATAGGAATAGGTCTCAGAATGGAATTTTTTTCACAGCCCTTTGGTAAGGTCAGGGGGCCTTAAGCATATCTGGAAATCACATTGTGGACCCCTGAATGATTGTCGCATGAAACACTGAACACTAACAGTTACTTTGAGTAACACCTTAGGGCTTGTCTACACTTAAAATGCAAGAGTGGTTCAACTTCAATGAAGATGCTATCAAGGCCATTGACAAGGGTTCTACCGTCAACAGATATCTCTACTACTTTGAGAGGCGGTAGCTACATTCACTTGAGAATTCTCCTGTCAATCTAGCATTCACTGTCAGCATTGGGGGGTTAGATTGGTTTAACTGTGCCACTCATGGGGGTTGATTTTTCACACCCCTAAGCAATACAGTTAAACCAGCCTAATTTCTCAGTGGAGATCAGGCCTAAATGACCTATTAGCCTACGTCCCATTTTCAAAAGTTAGCATTTAGGAGCCAAGCCAATCAGCTTTTCAACGCTTTTGAAAGTCAGACTTGGGCACTTCTGAAAAATGTTCCCTACTGAGAAAAACACCACCACTCATGGGATCTACACTCGTTGGACTTCTCTTTCCTTACCAAGCACTGTATCACAACAAGCACTTGTTCCATTCTATTTCTTCCTGGTAAACACAGTGCAAATTATATTTGCTATAGCAACATTGAGTTATTTTTTTTTAAATGTTTTGAATGACTAAAATGGTACCCCAGAAGAAAGTTTGTGAAAAACACAAGGAATGTCCCAGTAAAACAGGGACATATGGTCTCTTTACCTTTTACCATCATCTAATCCCTTCCCTCTTTTCTACAGCTTGACAGCACATCAGTCCTGACCTAGAGAATCAGTACATAGTCCATCATGTGGGCTGCAGTTTGGTTTAGGCCTTGTTTCTCTTTTAGGACTTCCCTATTATTTGTGTGCATCAGGAAGGCAACAGGCTCTAGACAAATCAAACGCAGGGCTACTCAAACCTTCGGCCCATTGGTTTGCAGCCCGCGGTGCAGTTAGAACTTACGCAGGGCTCAACACACAGTCCACAGGTGGGAGCCAAAACAAAAAAGTAGTCAATAGAATAGTCTTCGGTTGATATGTGTTTTAGTAGTTAAACTCCTGGACTGTCACTGCTCATTAAAAGTGCTGCCATATGGGTGGAAATCAGGTAAATAATGCATGTTATATCAGCAGAACTGACTTAAATGGGGCCTGTGTGTTGTGTTGTGTTGTCTTGCCTTAATCTTTGTATTCATGCCCATCAGTGTGAAAGAAGCTATTTGCATATATATTTTTGCATGTATATGCAACCACACTTCAGTTGTGGACCTCAGCACGTGCTATGAGTATCATTGTGGCCCCCAGAGCTTCCAAAGTTGAGTAGCCCTGTCAAAAGCCACCCTGGCTAACCATTCAAGGGTTCCTTCCTCACGCTCTGGCTGAACATGACAGCTATATATGCTTATTGACAATAACACATTTTTATGTTATAGACCAAATTTTGGGCCACTGTAAATGGGTATGCTCCAAATCTGGCCCTGTTAATACATCGTTTCTCTTCTTTCTGCTTTATCCCCCATCCCTGTCTTGGGATGTTGCTTCTCTTTTAGTTGATCTCTGCAGGAATGTGAGATGCAGTCCCTCCCAATAACGAGCACTGGTCTTCTAGCACACACGTCATGGATGAAAGCCAAACCCTCTAACCACTGTCCTGCTGCTCAACAACACTTCTAGTGATTCTATTTCTCTGACCTATTTGTAGTTCAATCCAGCCTCAAAACACCATAGCTACACTTTAGACTAGACCTTCCAAGTCTCTGGCTCTTTTTTCTTTTCTTTCTTTTGTCTTTGCTCATTTCAAATTAGCTGTATTTAGCAAGGATGATAAGGTCCACAATCCAATTAAGGAATTTGCTGGGTCACAGGTCTCCCATGGCTTGCTCTACCACATGCTCTTTAGTGCCGTTTTGTAGGTTAATGGGCCATTTATGGGTTGTTTATGTGCTCTCTTGAGCAAGCAGAACATATTTTCATCTTAATCTGTTGAGCAAATAGCATGTGCTCAGTATACCCTGGACAGCCCAATATCAGGCGGCATACCCAAGTGCAATTAACCTCCACACTGAACTCTGAAGCCCTCCTACCGTGTGACCTTTGAATGCCACCCTCATCCGTGCTTTTAAATCCTTTCCCTTTGTCTTTGGTTCTGCCTTGTCCATCCAATTTAGAAGCTGCTGAAACCAGCACCATTAACCAGACAAATAGCCAGTAGTTTTCAGAAACTGTGGCTCAGGATGAGGAGGGGAGAGGGAG